TCTTATTCATATCAGCAACCTAGAAGACTAGGAAGTAAAACTATCACTAGGAACAAGTATTTCAGGGCCTGGGATAATGGAGTATGACTTTAATCCCAGCATTTGGAAGGAAGAGGCAGGAGGATCTCTGTGAGTTCAGGGCCAGTGTGGTTTGCATAGGGAGTTCCAGGACAGCCAGGATTACACAGAGACCCGGTTTCAAAATAGAAAAACAAAAAACCAAGAATTTCCAGAAACATTCTGAGATTTTAAAAATCGAATCAATTCCAAGTATATCATAAAGATATTATATAATGTTGAGAATGCCAATGCTTATATAATAAGTAATATTAGGCCAGGTTTATGTTAAAAAATTAATATCATCTCAAAATTTATTATAAATCTGATGAAAAGTTATCTCTCGGGGTTGGGGATTTAGCTCAGTGGTAGAGCACTTGCCTAGCAAGCACAAGGCCCTGGGTTTGGTCCTCAGCTCTGGGTTAAAAAAAAAAAAAAAAAAGGTTATCTCTGGCTGCGTTCTCATTCACAACAGTTAAAAAACAAACCCACCCAGTCTTTTAGTTAGTGGTAAAATATTTTGAGGTTTTTCTTTTGGTAAGCTATGCTTAATCATGGTTGAACAAACACAGAGTAATCTAACTGGAATAACATTTTCTTTTTAAAAAATGGATTTAAAGACACATTTCCTGTTACCAAATGATTTAAACCATTTACAAAAATGCAACAAGGCTGCATTTACCTCAACCAACCATCAGCAGAATTGACACTGTAGCTTATATAATCTATTGCTATTATCTACAGAAGCCTATAAATATACTTGATAAGTAAATACAGAAATAAAAATTGTTGATCTGTATAATATATTTATTTAAACTGAGATAATTTCCATTGGTGAAAAGAAGTTATACTGGAGCATTTGGTAGAAAAGCAAGCGCACTAATTCAGCTCCTTGAAAAAAAATGTCAGAACATGTGATTCCTGTTTTTTTTTAAATTCCAAATATAACTCACTGTATTTAGCACCTCCTGTACTTTCCAGTATATTAGATAATTGCATACCACGTTAAAAACAAAATAAAGGAAAACATTCCTGCCACCCACCTTTTCATAAAAAACTGAAAATATTAAACATACACATGAGGGACGCTGTGAAGGTTCAAGTGACTAGTCCAAAGAACACTGCATTTCTCTTCTTAATTAAAAAATAAAAATCAAAAAAGAGGATTTAGAGGGCTTCGAAGGATGGCAGCAAAAGAAGGGAGAAACGTGGCATCGCTGGCTTGGGCAAAAAGAGACAGTTCTTCAGCCAGGTACACGGTGCTGGCGCACGCCTTTGATCCCCAAGGCTAGCTTGGTCTACAGAGGCGTCCCAGGACAGCCAAGGCTACACAGAGAAATCCTGGAGAGAGAGAGAGAGAGAAGAGAGAAGAGAGAGAGAGAGAGAGAGAGAGAGAGAGAGAGAGAGAGAGAGAGA